GTATCTCTGAAACTAGGAGAAAGAAAAGAATATGATAGATTTCAGTGGAGATGAATAGGTGCTGAATGAATGTGAATTCAATATAAAAGTGAGTGACCAGTACACAAGAGGTTCATAGAAATGGTTTCGTTGTACAGACAGAATAAATGAGGATCGAATCTCAAAACAGAAAACATATATTAAAGGAAGAATGAATGGATCAAGACAAAAGGGAAGACTGAGAAAGTTGTGATTGAATGGTATTGTGCTCCTGAAAAAAGGAGAGGTGAAAATAAGCAAAGAGAGGTTGCAAATTTGTTTGGATTCCTCAGTTACAGAATGTATGTGATTGTTCTTCCCTTTTCATTCTGTTTCACAGCATGCTGAAAATGTACACTGTAGAGATAATGACCATAAGATCAAGTGATGAAGACCACCTAATTTTCTTGTAGTACTTTGTTTTTTCCCACTTGATGCTGCCTCCTACGTGAATTCTGTACTCATATAACATTGAGCTGGATTTGAAGAAAGCAGAGCCTTCTGTATAAAAGAAGGAGCTGGAAAAAATTATAGGGATCCTTTGTATATTACTCATATGCACGCTTATTGGGGTCTTAGGATTGATTGGAATAAACAGTTTCTTTTCGTGCTTTTGCAGAGTTTGACATTTTAATTCCATTTGGGACAATTTCTGTTGTTTTTCTTCTTTCACTACAGATGGAAAGCCAGTGTCACTGTCTCCAATTGAATCCCAGCCCCATAGCCCTCATTACACAGCTACAAGTCAACGTGAGAGAGAAAGCCTGGAGGTTCGCATGCGGGAAGTGGAAGAGGAAAATCGTGCACTACGCAAGCAGCTCAGTCTGGTCCAGAGCCGGGGCATGTCCCATCGCCGAGGCAATCACTCAAAAACTTACTCCATGGAGGAAGGGACTGGGGACAGTGAGAGCCTCCGGGCAGGCATTGTGGCAGGGAACAGCTCTGAATGTGGACAACAGCCAGCAGTGGAGAAGTGTGAGGTAGGCAAATGATTTCCTAGCTAAGTCATGTTTCTAAAAGTGAATCAGCTTGATGTGATTGGAATAGTCTCCACCAGTTTTTGAATCTTGACTGTGACTGCAGCAAAGAAAAATGTAAGTATATGATAGGGAAGGAATCAACTCACTTTGTTTGCAATCTGCAGGGGAAAAGGGGGATAGGGGAAAAAAAGAGATATTTAAAAGTAATCATGTGGGTCTAGTTGAAGACAGGCATATTTAATAGAGTCAATATGGCCTATTGGGAGAGGCATCAGAAGCAAGCCATGATTTCATCACAATTGCAAAATGTTTGTTGTTGTCAGCCTTTCGAGGTAATCCAGACAAGAATCAAATACCATGAGTACTAACACTACCTTTATTGTAAGGTTACAGTAACAGAAACTTGCAAGTCTGAAAACACATCTCTCCCCCCCCCTTGCCTTTACTTTTCAGGGAACCAGGGAGGGTTCCTTTTGAGATGCTTTCCACGCCCCCATTCTTTCTGTGGGCTGAGTTGTCTCTTATCTGACCATCGCCCTAGTGGCTCTTCCACCTCCTGTCTCTCAAGGATATTCCCACAGACTGTTACAGTTGTGTCATCAAGACACAAGCTCTACCCTTTAGGTATTTGCATGTGACTTTGCAATGTACATACACCTTGGCTTTCCTCTGAGGCTTTCCTTTACACTACTGGCAAATCTGACTACAAGATTTGGTAAAAGTATCTCTTTTTTAAGGAAAAAAAATCTTATTAATAAGAGATGGTATTTGTTTTCTAATATTCAGTTTAGTGTTATACAAATGTAAGCTAGACAGAATCTGTAATTAATTTAACAAAGTATGTGATAGTCTATAAATAGAGTTATATAATAAATATGGTATAAAGAGAACCTTGATGTATGGAGCATACATTTTAATTGGTGTTGAAAAATGATATATTTAGAGTATAGGAATAGTAAATCTAAAATATTAGGTATAGTATACAATAAATAAAAACTGTTAAGTTCTATAGAAATCCACAGGATGTTTATAATATTCCTGACAATTCTATTGTTGACTTTAAATCTCAGAAAACATAAACATTATAAAATGCACCCTCGTTCTGTTGTGTGCTAGCAGAGCTTTGCCCCATCATTGTTGCTTGCTCTCAGTTTGTAACCTACAATGGAATTTTCACAGAAGGTGGTAGAAATTAATAAAATGCAAGTTTTAAATGATTATATCTAATATGAACACTATGGAAGTGATTAATGCTTGTTTCTTCTTAGTGTTTGTCCCACATGATTGCAGGATCTACTTTTGCTCCCCTAGTTCTTACAGCAAAACTATCAATGCATGTTACAAGGAGTGTCCATAGGGTATGGTCAAAAAAGTCAAGATGGTGACCACACCAGTGCAATTAAAGCTCCACCTGTTTTTTATGCGTGTCAACATTTTGTGCCCATTTCTTGTCCACTTTGTGGCCACCATTTTGACTTTTTTGACCATACCCTGGAGACCTCCCTGTGTCAAGGGGTTTCTTTAACAGCATTGATTAGGACTGAGAGGGGAGTGATTGAGCTGAGGTTACTTACCTGGCTTCTAGTCCAACACTTTAACCATTCATCCACACTAGCTCTCGTTATGATATCAATAATAAAAGCAAAACATATTAAGTATAGTCTCCTTTACCTTCTCTATATATCCTGCTTCTTTTTTATAACTTGGATATATTCAGTAGGCTTATATATCCAGTATGAGGGCACTTAATAGAATAAGTAAAGGATAACTCAATAAACAGAGGTATAAATATGCTTTGGAAATAGCTCTAGGCAGCCACTGGGAAACTACTTTTGTAATTTTGCAGTGGTCGTGGTAGAAGCTGTATACTTTCCCCAGATCCCCCCTTCCCTCAAAGAATCAAGAAATAATTCCAAACAATTAACTGAAATCAGCAACAGAAACAAAATATCTTAATAGTTTCAGATCTGTCTCCCCCAGGTTCTTGTGCTTTTTTAGCTTAAAAAAAAAATTGCTTGTAATGCTGAATGATGCAGCCCTGTGTACACTTCTCTGGGAGTTAGTCTCAATGAATGTAGCGGGACTTATTTCCAGTAGGATTATACTACAAGAGTTTGCTGAGTCACACTGTCAAGAGAATGCTTTTAAAAACCCAATGCTTATTATTTATCCTTCTGAGTTAAAAAAGAAAATCATGTTTATTCATAGCAGTTCAATCTTCTTGTGCTGATGAAGGTGGATTCATAACTGCACTAGCCGCATGAAAGAGGTAGATTGGGCACCAGTATAAAATAGCTAGGTCTATGTCACACATACAGAGCCAGGAATTTCTACACTTTTCTAGATGGGGGGGAGGGGGGTTATGTATGTTACAACAAACTTAGCATTATACTACAGTTTTGGAGTTTCTTAGAAAATAGAATGGAGACTGGTGCAGGCAGAGATATACAGGGAGGGGGGAGGGAGGGAAGGAGGGGGAGAGATACACCCACATTGGCCAGTGAGGACTCAGTGGGCAAGAAATGTTGACAGAATGGAACTCTTGTTGCCAAGATTCCACTTACATTCCTTATTTTAGATCCTTGGAATATCTCATTTCTTGTACTTATTTGGAAGAGTTGGATCAGAAACTTTGTAGAGAGAGCCTGTGCTGCAATAGTCCACAACATTAAATGATGTAGGGCATACCCAGAGGTTGTTACTTTCTTGGCAAAAGATCAGTTTTCATTCTTAATGCACATGCATCCAGAGGACAGTCAGGAGACTTGGCAGAACAATACAAGAATTCATATCTACATCTTTGTATACAGATTGATCGTAAGACATTGCACTATTTAGATGTACCCCTTGGGGACATCTATCTAAAGCAGTCCCAATTTATAGAAGTGTAAGACAAGGTTGCATATTAGCTCTATAACTTTTTAATCTATATCTAAATCCAGTAATCCAAGCTCTTGCTGTTTCAGCCCATCACCTACCTATCTTAGTTGATCATGCAATTCCAGCATTATTGTATGCAGACAATGTAGTTATGTCTATTTCACAGGTGGGGATGAGAAAAGCACTTAGGAAATTGCCCCTATTCTGTACAAAACAAAAGTTATCAATAAACTATCAGAAAACCAAAGTTTTAGTTTTTGCCCGACATAGTAGCTATCAAATATAATAAAGTATAAAGCCTTGATATTATGGGAAGGAGAAAATTAAGGCTTTTATTTTTGCTGTCCCATCCCAAAGAAAACTCAACTGAACATAAATATAATATACCAAATGTATGCCTTCTTTAATGACACGTGTCTTTTACATTGCCTTCTCTCAGTGTCTTGTTAAAGCAGTTCATCTGGAGGATGGTCTCTTCTGCAGCCATGCATGTATATAATAACTGAGGCTATTCTCAGTTTAATGATGAACCTTCTTGCAAAACATCTTTAAGTAACCTGAAGGGTGGTTTTTGTTGTTGTTTGTTTGACCTCTGTATTGGCTTAGAATGCACATTATTTGCTCTGTACTTTTTTGGTGGAATTGCCTTTTTATTTTTTTCTAGAAGGGAAAAAGTCTATTAGCCAACTCCCATGTTTTCTTTTGTTCAGGATGAAATATGTTGGGTTGAATTATTATTGTTATTATTTATTAAACTTGTATGCCACCTGACTCTGGATGGCTCAGGACCCAAAGATGCATGGGGCTACAATCGATTTTGGACAAGGGAATCACTGCTAAAAAAGTTGTGTAGATTAAATGGCCTTCAAGATTATAATAACTTTTACCAATAAATTTCTCACCAGGTATTAGTATTATGCTGTAGGCAGTGGTTCTGTACAAAAAGCAGCTTCCTGATGCTCACCACACACTCCTCTCTTAACCATTTTCAATAGTGAAATGGCTTTCACTTTTTCCTTTTATAAGATTCCTGGTAATTCAGTGGCAGATTACAAATTTAATAGAAACCTCCCTATTATCAGAATTGCCTCCAGGGTTTTCATCACTTATCCTATTACTGAAAATGCCAGTTATGTGTTTATATGAGAGGCTTATATTCATTCCCTGTCAAGGATCCATTTCCCATAATCAGTGATTATTTGAGCTGAATTGTTACTATACAATGTAGCTCACGTTAAGGCTGTATACAGTAGACAACATTGAGATAACTCACTGTTACTTTTTAAAAATATTTCTACTTTCCTATTCCTTGCCCACCTTATTGCCTTATGTAATAATTCAGTTAAAAAACAAGAAAAACTATTTGACCAAATTTGTTAATTTTTATTACAGTGTTTTGATGGTCACACTTTCCCCATTCATATATCTGCCTTAACAACAACCTTTACAGATAAATTACTGTGATTCCAATTTTCTGTTTGGGAAATTATCTAACAAGGCAACTTGTTAAAGGCATTTAAAAGGTTAACCTTTTTTAAAAAATACCATCAGTAGTGAATTCAAGTAGGGAAGAAGCAGGATTTTAAATAATGAAGAAGCACTGAAGGAATTTTATGAGATTGCAGAGACTGAATTAGTTCTTCTCATTGACTGTCACTATAGAAGATGTTGGAAAGAAGCTTACATGAGAAGCGTTTATTTTCAGGTAGGGAAACTCAAGTGTTACATCAAAGAAAAAGAATAAATCATTTAGAAAATCACTGCTAGGGTTATACAAAGGTAGAGGAATATTGTTTTCTTTCAGGCTTCCTTGCAGGGTTCCATCAGGTGACAGGAAGCTGGACAAAATGGATCTTAATATCTTTTTGTCAATGAATGAAGACATTTATTCTTACTAAATTAATTACTAAATTACTTGATATTCTCAAGGCCACCCACTGGGATCTGACCCAGTAGTGTCTGCTGTTTTAGTGGCTCCAGTGTAAAGACTGTGAAGTAATTAACATTAGAAAGAAGAGACATTTCCTCTGTTTCCATTCTTTGGTAAAATTACTTTCTCCATATTTAAATGATAATTGATAAAACAATACTGAAGGAAAGCTAATTTGAAAGATTTCAGGGGGAGTATTCCAGACTCCATCTGGCTAGTTCAGTGGAGACCTTTGAAGAAATGTTTCTTTATGTTGCCATTTTCCTCCTCTATGATGATGATTTATTCAGAAATAAGGCATTGCATGTTTAATGGGATGTCTCTAAGGCATACATGTGGAATTGCAAATTTAATAGGTGCAGGTAAAGATAACAATTTATTCAATAATTATGTCAAATTTATGAAAGATTATATTGCTATAATTTTGGTTAGTAAACTTCCAGAAAAACCATTTTCTTCAAGTTCACAATTTATTCACAAAGGAGCAACATGTACGCATAAGGAAGAATCTGTTTTGAGGGGAATTATTTTGAGCAAAAAACACTCTGTCCACATAATGGAGATTTTGAACTTCAGAACTACTGCCTTTTTATTGACAACTCTCACTGTGAGATCAGAAAGAATCAGGTTCAAATGCCACTGGATGCTGAAGCTTGGGCCAGTCACAATGTCTCAGCAACAAATCTACCTCACAGATTTGCTATTGTGAAGTTAAAGTAAAGGATAGCCTCCTTGAATGCTGCCTTTAGCTTTTAATGATAAATTGAGCTTTAACTGAAGGAAACCACCATAAAATAACAAGATACGAAGGATCATAGAGCTAAAGTACAAGATTGTGATCCTAAATGAGATAAGTTAATTAGGAATCCATTGGGATTCTTCCCTGGAGATAAGAAGGGGCAGGAAGTACAAGGTTTTGGGTTATGAACAGCATCTAGGTTGAACAATCTTCTTGCAACAGCCAGTTTCTACTTTGATTCTCCTCACAATCACTCGGGCAGGGATGCTCATTTACTCTTGAAATCTTGCATTTTCCCCTCTCCCCTGGATCTGGTTGCACCAGCTCTTCTGTGTTCACCAATTAAATATTTGATTAGAATGGTGCTACACATATGCAGAATTATGGCATCTGGTTTTTCCAAAAGAGACTTTTTTCCTTCACTGTGGGTCCAGTTAAAAAACAGGTAGAGTTTTGATTACACCATCATGGCCACCATCTTGACTTTTTTGACTATGCCTTGTGGACACCCCTGCCTCCTTTAAAATAGAGGTGGCTTAACTTGTTTCTATCTGTTATTGAAAAAGCTAGTATCAAAACTGTAGTGAATATTTCCTGCACAATGTAAGAACTAGTATAAGAATTAAGGTTCTAAGGAACACATGTCAGTGATACTTCACATATCCATGATTTACAGCTTTTTAAAATATCAGGAACTATTGAACATCAAAAGCCTCAAACTGACTAGACTGCATTGATCTTGCTAGATTGTGATGATCTTTCTTCCTCTTGCTTTCATTGTTTGTTTCTCTGTTCTTTTAGACAATCCACGTTGCCATTGTGTGTGCTGGATACAATGCCAGTCGGGACGTTGTCACACTCGTCAAATCAGTCTTGTTTCACAGGTAACGCCTCTTTATCTTGCTGCATGCCTTTTTGTAAAGGTGATTAAATGTGCCCTTGACCCTTCGTAGCACAAACGACAGTCAGTGTACCTGAATCTAGCTAGATGGGATGCTTCTTTTAAAATATTAAAATTACATAGGATGTAGAATATATTTCTTATCAAATTATGTTGCATTGAACTGGCCCTCTAAATTTCTGTCAACTTGCATAGAATTTAATAAAGTTGCACTCATCCAACCATTAAAAAAATGTGACAAACGGGTATGAAAACTTTGCTTTTAGGGAGTAATCTCCCCATTCCAAAACCTTCTCTGTTTCTGTGGACAGTCTGACATTTTTCATCTTACTGCATA